TTAGCTAGTTTTTGATACCAGGTGTTTCTAACTGCCTAGGCTGTCTTGGAACTGCAATCCTTCAAACAACTGGATAACAGGTGTATAATACAAATCACAAGTAATTTAAACAACCATGTGTGAAAATTATAAGCAAAGCAAATACCACATTTTAATTTTTTTACTTCTTAAATGTAATTTTTATAATTGATTGATAGAAAAAAATAAATTGAGAAAGTCACTCTAGATCTTTTGAAAATTCCGTTGTGTTTCTAGCTAGATTTTATTTTCTCAGAAATTATTTCAATTTAAGCTAAAACTTAAAAATCAGTTATTATAGAGTACAGATGATCCCTTACAATCTCAATGTTTATTGTTAAAAATGTAATAGAATGGGATTGGGAAGGTGGCTCAGTGGTAAAGTGCATGCCTTGCATGCATGAGGCCCTGGGTTCGATTCCTCAGCACAACATAAGCAGAAAAAGCTGGAAGTGGCACTGTGGCTCAAGTGCTAGAGAGCTAGCCTGGAGCTGAAGAACTGAGGGACAGTGCCCAGGCCCAGAGTTCGGGCCCCATGACCAGCCAAAACAAAATGACCATTAAATGGCTAAATTAATAAATTTGTCAAGGCATCTAAAGGCAAAGATCTATTTTATCCATATGATTAAAATATCTTTAAAAGTATATTGACATAATTTTCCCTTTTTCTATTCTTTAATCATAACTCATTCAGCAAATAAATAAAACAAAACCTCTTTCTAAAATTTTCTGGTAAAAATCTTGTTTTTTAAATATATTCCTTTATGTTTTATTTGAAACATGAAAAAAGATAATATACTAGGAATAAAAAACACCATATCATTTTGGTGACATTGATTAAAGATAAAGTGACTTAAATGAGAAAACAAAGTAGATAAATTTAGTTTGTAGTTTTTCTTGCTAAACACGTATCTTTAAATTTTTTGTTTTAAGTACAATATTGCAAAATATAACAGATTGAGAACAAAAATTGAGACAAAGGACAAATGAAGATACAAGAGGGGATGGTGTCAGGAGTGAGATGAATACATAAGAAAATGCCAAATATTCCTGAACATTTTCCAGAAGGGAGTCCCACATTTAACACCAAGCTTTCTAGAAGTCAGCAAGGAAGGATCAATGATTCGTTGATAATTCATATGACTCTTGAAATGAAAACAAGTCATCCTTTAGAAGACCTATTCCTGGCACTAGACTCAGGAAAAACATGCCTCCAGTATCTTAATAGAAAGGATACTAGAAATGATATCCCCACCTTTATCTTTGCAGTGGCACTTGAAGAGTCCTAAGATTTCTAGGAATAGTATCTTCAAATTGGGCTACACTATCACACAGAATGCAATTCAGCAAAAGTCAAAGCTCAGCCATTGGACAGACACTTTCAGAATAACATGGCTTAGCACAGTAGTAGCGGGATAGGACCTACAGCACTGGTTTCATACTTGCACTTTGCTGCAGGTGCTGTCCTGGATGCCTGTGTATGTTCTGATGTACACAGAGATTCAAGAGAGTCAAGAACATCCCTAACAGAACAGAATCATTTGTGTTTTGACCTTCATTTTTGTGTACTTTGCATAATATGAAGATTTTATTTAAGGTCATTTAAAAAGTTTTAAATCTGGATAAATGTTTAGATGTAGTATTGAGAATGTTGAGAAATGGTGAAGAAACTCTCATCAGTGGTTTCTCACCTGAGAATAAATGATGGCTATTGCTAAGCAATAACACTATCATTCTCACATCATGACTCTTTAGCTTTAATATCCAATTATTTGAAGAGCTAATGGAACTAAAATAGGACTGTCATCACCTCTCCAAGATAAGCAAAAATGCATACTTAAACATATTGAATTGGGACCCATATGTACAAGTATTTAAAGATAATTTAAAATAATTTAATAAAGATTTCTGTTGTGGAAAAGAGACTAGAAAAGGAAGCTCAAATTCATTGCGGGAAAACCTGAAATGTTTTTCTTCCCTATAGAAAAAAAGTCACAACTTTGGGAGTAGTAGTCTAAATGAGGAATCCCAATTCTTCTGACAAGGAAATTAATAGAGATGAAGAAGTAGACTGAGTCTTACCACATTGTGATTGAAACTATTTCCCCTGATTGGCTAATATGAGCCATTCTCTACTCCATGGGCCTAAGAAAGAATTGAAAAACCCACCACAAGAAATATATCATCTGAACTCTGCACAAATTTTATTCTTCAAAATCCAATATTCAATAGAAAATTAAGTCATGACAAGCAAGTCAATGAAACAGAAAAATCTAGAAAACAAGTTAGTAAGCAAAGGATTTAAAGTGTGTGATAAAAATGATTAAGGAGAAAATATACCACAAAGTTAAAAAAAGGAAAATATTTGATTTTGGATCTCTACAATTGAAAATTAAAAATTCAATGTGTAGATTTAATATTTATCTAAATGAAAAAAATTATGGTAGGTAAAAGAAGTATTCTGAAATTAAAAATCATTAAAACTCTATAAATGAGAGTAGAGGTAAAAAGAATGAGTTATGTAAAAATTCATGTCATAAAGGACACATTCAGTAAAGATTTCTCACACATGTTTACAAAGAAGAGAAGAATGAAGCTGAAGTATCATTTGAGAATGTATGAGCTGAAAAATTTTTAAAAATCCACAAATGCATTCAAAAAATTAACTGTAAAACTAAAAATAAGATTAAAAATAGATTTAAAAGTCTCTGTGGGCACAAAAAGAACTATGTGTGAAACTCTACATTTTGATAAGCTATTCAAAATAATTCTATGTCTCATGAACATGAATAAAATGCATGCAGTAAAACATCTGGGTTACTGCTCATGTGTCTGAGTGTACATAGTTAACAAAATAATACTAGCTCTGATAAAATATTAGAATAGTACTGAAGAAGGCTTCAGAAATTCAGAGCAGTTTGGTAATCTTCATATAGCAGCACAGTGAGAAGCACAGAGTTAAAAGTGAACACTTGCACGATCACTAACACAATGCCAGAATAAAGTGTGCTTCATTTTGTTTTCCTGTGTTGAACACAGATGTGGCTGCTCAGTATGAAGCATCTGGTTCTTGCCTCTGCCGAACTGGAAGACTGAGCTGGCATTCCTCCTCAGCATACCAAAAAAAGAATCTATTCTCATAGAATCATTAGCTAGCAGTTGAAGATTATGAGAGGAAAAAAAGATTTACTTCAAATTTGACATTGCAAACTCCTTGAAAGAGTTTAATTGTAAATGTCTAGTTTCTTCTAAATCTGTACAAACTTCAAATGTAGGATTCTCTCTATACCCCTCTTTGCTTTTTTTCTGCTGCCTTTTGAATGTGGCCTCTCCTGATTAATTCTGATTTATTTTCAGGAAAGTGACAGTATAGGTAGTTATTCAGGCCTTCCAAACAGTTTCTGTTATACTCACCAACTGGTAAATTGCTTTCTCTCTATTACTGACATATTTAACACTGAAAACATCATGATTCTTTTCCTCACCGTTTTTGTGTGTGTATGTGTCTCTCTGCCTGTCTATGAACAAGTTTTTCCCAAGGAGAAGATATCAGATAAGATTTACTTGTAATAACCAAATACCATTGACTCCTGGATTAAACTGGCCACATTGAGAAGTCTCTGTAGCATCTTGTGAAATATTTCTCCCCCTGTTTGATGGCTCAGGTGTTAAGTAAAGTATCTTCTCAGTCATATCTCCTTGTTCATCTCTATCCAGTCAGGCAAGGCTCCACTTAATCCAGCAATGACAGAATTTAGGCTTGGGGAATAAGTGGTTATTTTTGGTACTAATGAGTAGCACTAAGGCTTGCTAAGGCACATCTCATATTCTCCTCTTTGAGATTACAGCTAGCTACCATCATAACTTATATTTTGATCACCATGGTGAGGAAGCATTCATCTCACTCACTAGTTGGTTTAATCTAACAAAAGCTGAAATCTGCACCTCAATTCACAAATCCCAGATGAGATCTCAAAATAGAACCCAGATGTCATTTCCTTCTTGGGAAGGGAACTCATGTTCTTATACTCTCTGTTCTAGGAGTATTCACATGTGTTTAGATTCAACCATAATGAAACACTGAAAGCATTAGAGGGAGTCATGTGGCTTTCACTAAGGGTTTGTTGTGAGACAGACAGGAGACTGGCCTTAACATCCCACTATAAACAAGTTAGTCTTTAAGAATTCTTGCTAGATATTGATTGTCCTCAAAGACCTTGTGTGATGAACATGCCAATCCATTTCCTTCTCCCTTTGATTTCTTCACTATTTCCTTATACCACACTTCACAGTCTGCCATATTTTACAAACACTAGCTCTACACATGTGGCCTAAGGGATATTCAGGCCATTTTGGCTCTACTTTCTTTTCATGAAAGCAATACCACAGGACATCTGGGCTTCCCAGATCCCTGTGGAATGCTTCAATGTTCTCCACATTCTCCAATTATATTGTAAACTCGTTCAGTGTTTTAATCACAGTCCTTGCATAAGTTACTAAGGATTCTAGCATGGACTTGCCTTCTGCAAGTACCGTCTATATATAAATTTTATAAGAATTGGCCTTATAAAGGTCAGTTATAAAGGTATTGGCCTTATAAGGTTCTTTTTATTGCATCTACAAGTACAACTTTATCTGTATAAGACAGACATAATAAAGCAAAAAATTACCCACAGCATTTGAAATATTTGTTGAAATATTTATATTCCTTTTTAAGAATGAGAACTCTTTAAAGTCTTCTCATAGTTATACATTTGGGTTGAGTCATGCTATGAAAGTTTTTGTAGGCTAAATATCTATGCTACCAAAATATTATGATAAGTAAAATTAAACCACATATGTAAATGAATGAATAAGAAGTTTTCTGTTTTATAATTTCCTAGATGGCAGGTAATATTTTAGTTATTCAGTAAACCTACTGCATATTTGTACTAAATTACCAAGAATAGCAATATTAATTATCACTTAAAGTTTTTTCTTACTTCTTTCAGATGGCCAAAAGTTGGTTTAGCTGTTTGGATCATAAGTTGCCTGGTCACATAATCTAAATCTAGAAAAAAAAATTGAAAGAAAATTCTTAGAATACCACCAAAATGTTTTTTAAGAGTTACTACTTTTATCTTTATCAACATATCAAAATAGTAGATGGTAAAAAATGAAATCCCCCTAATGATAAAATGATTTATTTGTATTTATTAAGTTTACTCAAATTCACAGAAAATCTGCCCTCAGAAACAGCACAAATGTTTTAATGAAAGTGGCACAATATTCAATTTTGCAATCTGAAAATGGGAATTGTTTAGTACTTCACATGTGACAAATATTACTTCTTTACTGTTATGTCATTTCCTTATCCCTTGACAGATTAACTTTACATGATAGAGTCTGAGAACACCAGACAATTGCTTTCTTTAAAAGAATAGAGTGATCTAATCATAGGCATGTAACCCAAATCGAGTAGCTATATAACTTACTATCAAATGTGAGCATGCTTGAGAATACAAAGAAAGCATATATGATTCTTATTGCACAATGGACTAGAATAAAGGTTACTCTACTCAAACCAAAACAATGCAACTTAAAATGAAATTATGTTAGATGTCTTTGGGGAGTTTCGGTTCCAGGATATAAAAAAAAATCCAGATGACCAATTTCCCTTTATGTTTCATCCTCAGTAATCATGAAACAAAGGGAGGAATAGGAAGAACACACTGAAGATGGCTGAATGAAAATGTAGGAAGAAGCCAGAGGCTTCACTACCCTTTTTTTTTAATTTTAATTTTTATTTTTTGTGAACATACTGTACAGAGGGGTTACAATTACATGGGCAAGATAATGAGTACATTTCTTATCAAGCATTGCAGCCTCCTCCTTTGTTTACCCTTTACATCCCTTCCCAGTCGCCCCCCGCCCCCCCACCCAATCCCCTCCCCCCCCCCCAGCACCAAAGTTGTAAAGTTCGTTTTGGACTTGACAACTTGTACTTCTCATAGTTGCATTGGGTCCACCTGTATCCTTAAATGACTTGTTTTTCCCCATCTCCTCCACAAATTATACCGACATCAAATATAGTGAAAGCAGGGGTTATACTGTGGGGGAGGGACATACAAAGCTACAAAGAAATAATCTTATAAATGAGTTAGAAACAAACGCATGACAGAAAAAAAAGCATTTAAATACATATCTAAGGGTTCATTTTCCTAACATCACATTATCTGACCTTTCCTGCTTGACTCATACATATACTAGATATTGCAAATAAGGGAAACCATGGGATCTATGTTTCTTTGGGCTTGGCTTACTTCACTTAATATAATTTTTTCCAAGCCTGTCCATTTCCTAACAAATGGGGCAATGTCATTCTTTCTGATGGAGGCAAAGAATTCCATTGTGTATATATAACACATTTTCTTGATCCATTCATCTACTGAGGGGCATCTGGGTTGGTTCCAGATTTTAGCTATGGTAAATAATGCTGCAATAAACATAGTTGTGCTGGTAGCTTTAGTGTGGTCTTGTTTGTAACCATTTGGGTAAATGCCCAAAAGTGGGATTGCTGGGTCATAGGGGAGCTCTATGTGAAGTCTTTTCAGGAACCTCCATACTGCTTTCCAAAGTGGTTGAACAAGTTTACATTCCCACCAACAATGAAGTAAGGTTCCTTTCTGTCCACATCCCCTCCAGCATCTGTTGTTGTTAGAGTTCTTGATTATAGCCATTCTAACTGGGGTGAGGTGATATCTCAATGTTGTTCTGATTTGCATTTCTTTTATGGCTAGGGAGGTTGAGCATTTTTTCATGTGTCTATTGGCCATCCTTCTTTCTTCTTCAGAGAAGTTTCTCTTCAAGTCTTTAGCCCACTTATTTATTGGGCAGTTGTTTCTTTGAGGATTTGTTGTTGGGGGATTTAATTTTTTGAGTTCCAAGAATATTTTAGATATGAGACCCTTGTTGTTGTATGGCTAGTGAAGATCTTCTCCCAATCTGTGGGCTTTCTATTGATCTTGCTAGCTATGTCCTTTGCCATGCAGAAGCTCTGCAACTTCATGCAATTCCATTTGTCCAACCTTTCTTTGATTTGTTGTGTTTCCGGGTCTCTATTAAGAAAATTTTGTCCTGAGCCAAGGAGGCCTAGGGTTTCTCCTATGCCATCCTGTTTTTTGTTTTCAGAGTGTCTGCTTTGACTCTGAGGTCTTTGATCCATTTGGAGTTGATTCTGGTGCAGGGTGATATATAAGAGACCTCCCAGCTAAGAAAAGTCCAGGACCAGATGGTTTTACAGCGAAATCCTACAAGGCCTTCAAAGCAGAGCTCACACCAATACTCCTCCAACTCTTCAATGAAATTGAAAGAGAAAGTTCACAACCGAACACATTCTATGAAGCCATCATAACCCTCATCCCAAAACCAGGCAGGGACTCATCAAAGAAAGAGAACTATAGACCCATTTCTTTGATGAACATTGATGCAAAACTTCTCAACAAAATTTTGGCCAATTGACTTCAACAATTCATCCAAAAAATCATACACCATGATCAAACAGGATCATTTCAGGAATGCAAAGCTGGTTCAATATATGCAAATCAATTAATATTATTCATCACATCAACAAGAGCAAGGATAAGAACCACATGGTTCTCTCAATAGATGCAGAAAAAGCATTCGACAAGATCCAACACCCCTTTATGATGAAGGTTTTGGAAAAATTAGGAATCCATGGAACATTCCTCAATACAATAAAGGCCGTATATGACAAACCTACAGCCAGCATTATATTTAATGGTGAGACACTAAAGCCATTTCCTCTTAACTCAGGAACAAGACAAGGATGTCCACTCTCTCCACTTCTCTTCAATCTAGTATTAGAATGCCTAGCTACAGCAATAAGACAAGATGCAAACATCACTGATATCCTTGAATACTTGAGTTATTTTTTCCTACTAAAATTATAGCATTATTTTTAAATTAATAATTATTATTATTACTTGTCAGTCATGGGGCTTGAACTCTGGGTCTAATTAATTATTTTAATTCATTTTTGGGCCTAATTAATTATTTTAATTCATTTTTATTTTTATAAATATATACAACAACTTATAAGTAAACTATTCCAGATGCTGGTGGCTCATGCCTATAATCCTAGCTACTCAGGAGACTGAGATCTGAGGATTGTTGTTTGAAGCCAGCTGGGGTAGAATCTTATGAGAATCTTATGTCCAATTAACCACTGGAAAAAAAACACAGAAATGGCCCTGTGGCACAAGTTGTAGAGTGCTACATTTAAGAACAAAGAGGCTCAGGGCCAGTGTCCAAGCACAGAGTTCAAGGCCCACAATCAACACACACACACACACACACACACACACACACATATGTATATAATATTCATGTGTAATAAAGTTTAAAAATAAAATATTTCACCTAACACTTATTCAATTTTTGAGTAAGCTACTTTTTAATTTTTCTTGCTTAAGTCATTTTCCTAAGCTTTAATCTTATGTTCTCTTTGATTCCTCAGTGTATAATGAATCACTGATCTTTTTCAGTTTAAAGATATGAGTTGTGATGTGTGTAACTATAGTATATAATGCTAGTAAGCTTATCAATTAATATTATGGTCTAATTAAAAAAATTCCTAAATAAATCATGTTGCAACTTGAATATTTTCATAACTGTTATAAAAGCAGTAGAAAGCAAAACAATGTTACAATATCACTTATGTAACTATAATCCCTCTGTACATCACCTTTACAGACCCTCAGTAGATGAATGGATCAAGAAAATGTGATATAGATATAGATATAGATAGATAGATTGATATTCCCCATATTAATATATATTTCCCTCTCTCTCTCTCTCTATATATATATATAATTATATATATATTTATATATATATATATATATATATATAATTCTATGCTTCCATCAGAAAGAATGACACTGCTCCATTTGTTAGGAAATGGAAACACTTGGAAAAAATTAAATTATATTAACTGAAGTAAGCCAGGACCAAAGAAACATAGGTCCTATGGTTTCCCTTATTTGCAAAACATTTTGGGACAAGCAGAAAAGGTCAAAACTATGTACATGTGGCTATATAAGATTATGCTAAGCGAAATTAACCCCAAGATAGGGACACAAGAGATTTTATCCTTCTTGCTGTTGTTTGTAATGTATTTATAATGTACTATGTGATTATTTTTGTTTCTTTTGTATGTTCTTCCCACTTGGTATAACCCCTTTTTTCACTGTATTTGATTCCGGTACCCTGCATCTTGTATATACATTTTTCTAATTTGGGGAGGGAAAGGGAAATAAAAAATGCTGAGAGGGAGGAGTTGGGGAGGTGGAGACAGAAGGGATGCTAGGGGAAATAAAAAGTAGGGGGTAACAATGCTCAATAGGAAATGTACTCATTACCTTACTCATGTAACTGTGGCCCCTCTGTACAATATCTTTACAATAAAAAATATACATTAAAAAAAGCTGGTGGCTCATGCCTGTAATCCTAAACACTCAGTAGGCTGAGATCTGAGCATTGTGATTCAAAGCCAGCTGGGGCAAGAAAGTCTATGAGACTCTTATGTCCAATAAATCACTCACAAAACAGGAAGTGGCACTGGGCCTCAAGTAGTAGCACACTAGCCTTGACCTGAGGAGCTGAGGGACAGTGCCCAGGCCCAGAGTTCAAGCCACGACCTACAAAAAAATAATTAAATAATTTAAAAATATAATAAAAAATTTAAAAAAGAAAGTAGTAGTCCCCAGGATAAAGACATATTGTAACTGAATCCTAGACCAGATTCATAGGAACCCAAGGTGAGACTTTATGTAGTGGGAACTGTATGATCCTCACCATGTTGTAGCATTGGCTTCCACTTGTCATCATGTGCTCACTGCCCATCTGCCTCTCTCCTCTCCTGTGATACCTCATATTGGAGCTCCAAATACAAATTTACCTAACGTAATTTAGGAGTATCCCAGTTGGACCAGTATTTAATTAAGCAAGTTATTTTATTATGAAGGTGATGTACACAAGGGTTACAAT